ATTATTCTTCGCGGATAGCTATAGCTCACCCACGTTTATTCGGAGCGGCGGCGTGCTCCGCTCGTTACTTTTGACGACGCTAACGAGGATTGTTTGCATCCGCGTCCGCCGTCGTGCACCGTCGGCCCGCGGACGGAAGCCGGCCGGGCCACCTTGCGGGGTACGATGCGGATCGAGAGCCTCAATTATACGACCCTTTGACTTCTCCCGCTCCCCGATATCGATTGCGCTCGTTGTATTTTTACTTTGACTCGTTTTTTTTCTCTTTCCGTGTCTCCGCTTTCCGCTATGATAAAATAGAGCGCTCCGCTCGCTCGCTCGTTCGCTCGACGTCGCTCGTCGAAGGTAATTTCATTCGCCGCGAGTCTCGCGAATTTCTCTCGATAACCGACAGACGAAGGCGGACGGTCGTCGCTCGATTACGCGAGTCGAGGCTCGTCTACTCGCGTTCGTTAATTCACGGTTAATCGGAGATCGCGAGACGGAGGAGCGTCGAGAACTTTGGAATCCTCGTGGCTCTCGATTCCGTGGATATCGCCTTTCAACGTCCCATTCGATTTTTCCGCCACGATACGTTACATCAGCTTTTATTCAACCTGCTCGCGTCCGAGTACACGGAACGCCACGATTCCAGCTGTTCTTAACCTGCGCGGAACAATACAATTGATTTTCAAACGCTACGTAGTTCGTGATCCACTGGAATTACTGTGCTCGACTCGGTACCGGCATGAGACCCTAATCACCTTGGGACGTTTTTAATTCTCCGCGATGATTAATCATCGTACTGAATTACTTTTCATCGCTTCTGCCCTTAGAGAACCGTTTCCCCGATATTACGAGCACAAGGGTGTCTCTTAACGATCCTCTCCTTCACGGTAACACCAATTTTTCCGCGAAAGAAGCATTTTCCTATGATATTGAATTATCAAGTTTCGTCGAAAAAACGGCGGCTTTGACCGTGGGCGTCTCGTTCTCCTTCCACTCGCCCGACGTCGAGACGCGTAATAAACGGCACGAGAAATTCGCGTTATCGAAATCGCCAATGGCGCCGTAACACTGGAGTTGTATTAGATTTATACACTTAACGCGTAACCCCAAAAATTGCGACAATAGATTATTCTCAGTTCCTTCGAGCACCCGTTACAGTATTCAAGCAAACCATTTATTTTCGAGGTCATTTCGAGTATCCAATACCTTCGAGACATCGACAACCACGAAAAAGAAATCAGTCATATTTCTAACACGGTAGCTCGTGTCGATTCCTCGCGATCCCATTGCATTCTCGTTTTCTTGGAATCGGATGAAAACCTCAGCCGTTCCTCTCGGAGGGGAAGCCTTCGTCATCGGGAATCATCGAAGATCGCCGCGTCGCGCGGTTTTCCGCGGTTCTTGCCGAAACCTGGCCGTCCATCGCGCCGCCAGGGAAACGGAGCCCGATAAACCGACCGATTTACGATTCCGGCCGGTAGCCGAGAGGCGGACGACGATAGGGCACGATTGCCGAGGTTATCGCGTGCGTAAATTATCAGCGGCATCCATTACGCGCCGAGAATCCGGGGGCGGGAAGAGATTTCCAGAGAAAACAGGAGGGTCAGGAAAGAGACGAGAGAATACGTGACGGCGGGCCACGCCGAATGCTGTTTACCTCCGCGAACCGATACGACCCGAGCTTCGAGCCGTCACATTTCTCGACCCCTCGATGGGGGCAGCTTTGACTTATCGCCGGCAACGAGCTCCGGTCCCGCCAGTCGCGTCTGGCCCACCGAATCGATACGATCTCTGTCCGCGACTGTTCGCCACGTGGTTTTTTCCGCGATCGCATCGCGAGCGTGCCTCTGTTCTTCCTGCGACACAGGACCTCATGGGCTGATTAAAATAGTAGAAACTATTTTATATAGTTTGTAGTAGTAACTGATAGTAGAATATTACTTCGGCTATGGCGGAATCATGTGCAACGCGTATTTCTAGGAAAGTGTGTTGAAACTCGAAAGCTTCACTAGAAATATTCGACACTTTCTGAAGAGACATAGACGACACTATTCGAAACGAAATTATAAGAAATCATACGTAAATTAAGAAACAAAGCTATATAAATGCTTCACATATTGATGCATCATAGGAAACTTATTATATGTAACACTTTGTAATTTTATTATATCAAATGGTGACTGAGGGTCACCTCTCGAGTGCAAAGGGTTGAAATAATCACGTTTATAGAATATGCGACTAACGGAAGGTGTAACTGTCGAATTGGAATTCACTCGCGTTAGATCTAATCTCCGCTGCGATTATTGCCGACACCTCCGCCTAGTACGAAAGAAAATTTTCAAAGAAAATACAGACGACCAGCGTTCCTCTTCATTGATATTTCACGATCCCGTAATTGATTTTCACGCTCAGTATATCAGCCGGTCGCGGAAATCCCTCGTCGCGGTTCGTTTATTCCGGAAGCTGGCGATTCTCCCTTGCAGCGTGATATTTGCTCTGAACGTTTCCGTTGATTTCATTCCAGTCTCGGCCGCAGATTTCGGGACAGCCTCCGGCTGCGTCTCGCCGCTGCGAAATATTGCACTAATTCGGCCGAGATAATCACCGCGATAATGCGCGCCTTCTCGTGATTATAAATTAATGACCGGTCGCAAATCAGAATAACAAGCGGCCGCCGGTGGCCCAGGAATGCGTGGAGCGTGGGATCGATTCGCCGGAATATTTGCGGATTTGTATGAAATATACGCGACGCTGGGGGTGAATCGATCTCAAGGGTCGGAGGATATTCTTGAAAAAGGGCGATCTCGGGAGACGCGTCCCGCGTGGGCGTGTCGATCTCTTTACATTCGTCGGAACCGTCGACGGGAATAGTCGGAGCATCGTCGCTTGAAGGACAATGCATCGGAGCTGGGGGCGTGGACCGGAAATCCTGTAAGGTGATCGCGCCTCGATCGCACCCGATGTTCGACGAGTTTCCGTACGACTGATTTCGATAAGCAATCGACGGTAGACTTTAACCCCTCGGCGTACCATTTACTTTCGTTACCGAGCTCGTGTAATATTTTACTTCGACAACTTGTAAGAAATACAAGAAAATTTTCCGTTCTACTTCAGGTGGAAATTTCATTTTGAGATGATACATTGATAGTAGCAAAATAGTTGTTTGCTTTGATCCGTGGGTAATGAACAACATTGATTCTTGTTATAGTTTAGAAATCTTCATCACTCGTCATTGTACGGCAGGGGGTTAAAGCGACTTATTCGATGATTTCTCGGCGCTAACTAAACATTCGTCTAAATAGTCCGATGTTCGCCACTTGTATGAATTTGAATTAGCTAGAAGATTTTTAACGTCTACCAAAGCTTGACATGACACTAACTCTCTCAGCGATGAATTCTTTATTTTTTCACATAAACATGTAATTCTTCCTTGTTTCGCTTTGATCTTTCATTAAAGTATACTCTACATTACTCTACGTGCATTCGTCCTGCGTTCGACGAGTACACGCTTCATTCTCCGATTTTATCGCGCGCAGAATCAATTTTTCCATCTAAATTCCCCAGTGAACTGGTTAACTTTAGTTATCCAGAGTTAACCATCCCCGTCCTTCGAATAATCACGAAAGACGAACTCCGAGTCTCGACTTACGCGCCGGTTGGACCGTTAAAAACACTGGTCGGATTGAAATGATGGGAAGCGTAAGAAAGAGCGGAAGGAGGTCGGCGGATTAATAAATCGGACGGGCGGGCTCGGCGGCCGGGACTCTTTCCGTCCGATCGGAGGACAAATTGCGGAGTAAATCAAGATTAAGGGAAACTGGGGGCTGTCGATATCGGATCCCGCTAACGAATCCCGCGACGAGGCGACTCCGTGGACCCTTGTCAGCCGGGATTATTTGTCCGGAGTTTTCCCGGCCGAGGAACCGCGCGGCGCCGGGGCCGAAAGCTCCCGAGCGTCTCCAAGAGAAATTGAATCGCGCGATCGAAAGCTCCCAGGTAACGGGCCGCTATCGCTCGAACGCGACGTTCATTCGATTCCGTTCGAATCAACGGCGAGAAGAACGCCGCGCCGACCTTTCCTCCGGCTCTCCCGACTCTCGGCCGGATTTCGCGCGGAAACGTGCTCCTCCGTCGAATTTACATGCTCCCCGGCACTCTCTCTCTCTCTCTCTCTCGAGGGAGCGTTCCCTTTGTAATCTCGGCACGCGTTATTCCTCTCCGCAATTTTCCGCCGGGAAAAAATTGAGAGCAAACGAAGCAATAACGACGGAGCGTTTCTGGAAGGAAAATCGGCGGTCGCGATTGCCTCTTCTTTATTCATGGCCGCGAATCTTCATGGAAATTCATGGTTTTACGAGCGGAGACGGGAGAACGCCGGGTACGGATAAATTGATTCCCTCCGTGGGACGTCTCGATCGTGGAACGACGGCCGAGTCCCGATCGCTTGGAACGCAAGAGATTCCTCGGCCCGATCGTCCGTTTTTCGGCGTTCCTCGCGTTGTTCTCCGCTCGGGTCTCTTCGACGCGGCTTCCAGGTTCGTTAGGAAGCGTCTCGTTGAGCGTTATCTCGCGTCGCCGACGGAGACGTCGTAGGATGCCGTATCTCGGACGCGATACCGGTCCTCGCGCCATTGATCGCGCGAACGCGGTTCCTCGCGAGTCGGAAGAGACGTTGCACCGGAGAACGGGGCGGCCGCCTTTTAAGCGGAATCTGTCGCCCGCGAAGAGAGAACCCGGAGGAAGAGACGCGCCGAACCTGTTGCACCGGCTCGAAAAAGAACCGAGAACCGCTCGGGCGAAGTCGATGCGCGTTTCCCGAGGCTATCTCTCTCCTCTCTCGCCTGCTTTCGACCCTTTGTACGCTCGCGCATGCAGGGTAACTCCGCCTGATGCGGAACACGTGGAAAATTCTCTGGGAAAACTTCGAACAACTACTTTGTACCGCGAAAAATGAATATTTATCGGATCAAACGCGACAAATGAGAGCATCTCGCTTCTTCTTTATGTTCCAGGACCGCGGTGCGCGTTGGGCTTGTCCAGCGAGCAGCGGATGGGAGTATCCAGCGACGGTGAGTGGCAGATAACGTTTGCTTGTAATAGAATTTTCCAAACGGCATGCGTTAGACCCGAGTTTCTCAGTTATCGCCGCGATATTTCTGAGTACACGGTGAAACGACGAGGGCGCTTGAGGAACCCTGTTTAACCCTTTGCCCTGCAATTCCTACGCCACTCGCGCTTGATAGAGCTATCGTGTTCGTACATGTATTCAAGAGATCAACGCTGAGTTAACTCTTTTTATATTAATTCGTCGATTAACCCTTTGAACTCTGTAGGCTCCAATATTGCAGTTAATATTGAATATTTTAACGAATCGAAGAAACTACCCTGAAAGTATTAGATTCTCACACATCCGAATTTTGTACCGAGAAGGAAAAAAGATCGAAGGAATGTTATAGAATTTTTCATTTTCACTATACTATAAAAATTAGTTGCTGATAGATTACAATGCCATGTGGAGCTAAGGGTTAACCTTTGCACTCGAGAGGTGCATTTAGTAATAGTTCGAGTCGATTTTGCAATGCTCCAGTTTTGAAGCTACAATTTTCTCGAATCATACAGACGAACGCTTAGTTTCCTAAGAACAATAGAATAAAGTATAGATTAAACGTCCGTAAATCTAGTGTTAATATTATCTTCGTATAACGTAACAATTTGAGAAATATCGAAATATCTTTGTTCCTCAATGTACATGCGATTTTTCTCATCTCATTTTCTTATCTCATCAGAAAATTAAAATATTTTTAGTGAAAAAACTTCAGAGTGCACAGGGTTAACAGAGAGTTCAGCTTGATCCGACAGTTTCCTACATTTCAACGACTCTTCGTCCACAAACGGTTTTGTTCCATTACATCCCATCAAATCCCATTCGAAATTTTCGGCGCGTTGACACGGCACCGTAGGGCACGGGGTTAAGCGATGGTACAACGGTAAATTGTCCTCCGCCGCGCGTTGTCCACGGAATAATCCGGTCGACGAGGGCGCACTGATTCGAGATAAATAGCCGGCGAGACACGGCGTACGACGGGGAGCTTTCGCATTCTGCGCCACGCTCCGCGGGCCGGTGTAAGGCGGAATTTCCATTTAGTTGAATACAGTTCATTCAAAGGGGCATCTCGTCAGGGGGAAGCTTGATAAAATTCCAATTTTTCCGCGGCGCATTTGCGGTACTCGCTCGCGAGTTTCCGGTACGCTTTCGACCTCGCCCCTTTTATTTCTCCCCCCTTGCCTCTCGTAGCGCAGCCCCGTGCTCTTTTTTCTCTTTCCACTTGGATTTTCACCCGAGGCAATTTCACCGCTCGGAAAACTACTCGGGAAGATACTCCGCGGCCATCGCGGAATTAACCGATCCGCGGATTTCAATGGAAACTCGTTAAACGCGGGCTGCCGCGCGGTTTAAGCGATTAACGTCTTTATTATCCCCGCGATTATTACCGTTAATTTAATACGCGGCCGCGCCGGGATAAAAAGAGCGACTGCTGTTTCGTTTCGACCGGGGCGAGAGGGGGGAGAGGGGACGCGCGGGAACAGATAAGTACGGTGCGTCGACTGTTTGCGCCGCGCGTCCGATAGCTGATCCCCGGTTTAGCGTTTCAGTCGACTCGAGGGACTTCCGAATGTTACGTGATTCCGGGGATGCGCTTTTTAACCCTTCGCACTCGACAAAGTATTTTTCATTGCATTCATTATTCTCCGACGAAATATTAATATCATCTGCAGATTACATAGGGCATCTTGCATAAATTATGGGCAGAATTGTTTTATTTCTATGTTCTACGTGTTGATAGCTTAGTCAACATTTTATGAATTTCTCATTTTATAATTCTGCTGCGTTCGATCAAATGTACAGTCGCCTGTCGAGTGCAAAGGGTTGATCTTCGAGCATTCAACTCTAAACTTTGTCTATTCGAATCTCTGATCAGTGAAATAAATCGAAGCTCGAAGCTTCGAATGATTCACAGGATTACTCGGTTGCCTAGGAAAGATTTTCATTTCATAGTTAGAGAAACTGCAGTTTCGCGCGCAGCAAACGAAGTTCACCGAATTATAAGTGTGGGATTCGTAATGAACCAAGGGCAAGGTTTAAAGTAGATTTCAAGTTTAATTTTCACTTATAATTAAATACTCGCAATACTCTCTCAATACTCTCTCTATTACTTCGCTCCAGCTCGCAATTCTCTGACCACCTCACTTGGTCTGAAGCATTTTTACATGCTCTTCGCGCCAGAGACCCAAGTTCTTCGCGTTTCCGATCGATCTTTCTAAATATTCTACATACTACACTACATAAGCGAAATATGGTTTCGCGTTGGAAAATCGGCACCGTTTGTTCTACAATATTACTAGCAGTAGAAAACTCGACCGCAGAAGGGATGATGATTTCTCGACGATTTCGACGAGCCGTGCGTCGGGGCGCGTTTTTCGAGCGCGCGGACAAAAGGCGGCGACCGCCGCGCAGATAATCAGTTTATCCGGGGCGCACCTGCCCTATTTCGCATATTATGACCGGCAACATGCCCGTCGGGCGACCCCTTATCTGCGAGCCCGTCACCCGTTGAATTTCTCCGCGACTAATTCACCCCTCCGCCTGCGCCGCTTTGATAGCTCGACCTATCTGGCTCGAAACCTTCGCCTTCGCCTCCTGAAATTCGATGGGAAGGAAATGGACTTTCTTCTCGCCCTCTCCCCTTCCTCCTTCCCCGTCGTTCTGACCGTAAAGCGACGAGGAAAGAGTCTCGCGCAAAAATCCCGGCTCGAACCCTTGTCCCACGGTATCGAACGAAAATGTCCGACTGAACTTCGACCGGTGATTATTCTTCTCTTATCGATCCCGGTGATGTAGGGTTAGCGGAGAGCTCAGTTATTGCGCCGATAAAATAACGTGAACGATTCTCGCGCGTCGAAAAAGCTTCAACGTGTAATGGAACTTGTCCATCGCGTCGGATGAACGTCAAGCATCGTGATCGGTTCGCGTCTATAAATCGCGAGACTCGTGAATTTCGCTGCGAATTCGACGCGGGAGAAAGGCAGACCGATCGTCGTCGATTTATTTCGCGATGTTTCGATCAAAGGTCGGGATGTACGAGTTCCCGATTAATAAACACAGGTCTTCCCGCTGATTACGATCGTCCGGCCGGCGCGTGCGTTGCACGACGCGATTTCCGCGAGTTTCGACAGCCTTTCGGGGTCCGGAATATCGAGTCTAGGCTGGATAGACGGAGTTCGGTGGATCTAATGAAGATAAACGCGATTCCGAGTCCGGCACCGAACAGCCGCGCGAAACTTTCGGCAAATAGATTTCGCGGGGATGGCGGCGGCGCCGCGAGGAACTTTGAAACGCGACACCCGGACCGTAAAACACCTACGCGCGAACATTACCGCAGCGTTTTCTCTCGCGATGCAATCGTGTCGCGGTCCGCCGTCGGAATCGAATTTTTCTCGTCGCGCAAATAAAATAGACGCCGTTCGCCTCGGGAACGGTGCGGTTCCGGAACGCCGACAGGTCTCGCGTTGTACTGCGTTTTCCGCGTTGATCTGTTATTTTCTTCAACCCTTTGCAAGCGAAGATTCTTCGAGACGTACAAAGCTTTCGACATATGAAGCTAAATTACATATCAATTGCTTAACCCTTTGACGACTGTCGCAAGAGAGATGAAATTTTGATATTCGGAAGACTGAGTTGCAGACAAATGATTTAGTTACTCGAACAGCCAGAGATCATCGCGAGTTTCCTTTTTCCATATTAATCAAGTATTTGATATATAATTCAGCTTCATCTGCCGAGGGTCTTGTATATCTCAAAGAATCTTCGTCCGCAAAGGGTTAATTAATAGAAAAAAATGGAAACTACGTTCTTCGCGAGTTAGTCTTCCAAATACATTTCATCTTACCGAAATGCCGACATCCGCAAAGGGTTAACACTAGATTGACGGACGTATTCTACTCGATTCCATTGTTCCTAGAAAACTACATCAATGCGAACCGCGAAAATTGTAGCTTCGAAACTAGAATATCGCGTATGTCCTTAAAAGCTAATCCTTTGAAGCTCCGAGGAGAAGCGAATGATGCATCGGTGATCCAAGAATCAGACGTAGTTTGATATAAAAGTCTCTCGCCTGGGACACCGTACGATGTCAGTAGTAGAGGCGGACCATTGGTCAGCCAGCCGTGCAGCTTCGCAAAGCAAAGACTGAACAGTCTTGACAGAACACTCGCGAATAATTCCGTTGCAGTGGTCTGAATCGACGAACGATATTACAAGATAACTCGGTATCGTCGGGAAACCGGAGAATCCCATTAAGTCGGCCAAGAAACCCGTAAGCGCGTTTCGCCGGCGCGGAGCGAGAAAAATCCGCCGGAGTTTAATCGAGATCTCAAAGTAGTCCGAGTGTGGAGGCCGATCGACGAGGGATCGCTATAAACAGCCGCGTGGGAAGGAAACGAGCGGCCCGTCGTCTCTCTCGTTTTCATATCGCGGGCGAAACATTCGTTTCATCTCGCCGACGGTCTCAAAGAACGCGCGCAACGCGCGGAGATTGAATTCACTCTTTATTTGCGTCCCCGGCGTGTGTGGCTCTGTTGTTTTTCGATTCGCGCGGTTCAACCGCTCCGCCTGGAATTTAATCGACCGCCACGCATGCGTTTATCGGATTTCGCGACGGTTCCTATCGATTCGGAATTTCCGGCGGAGCGATCGGCACGCGGTGCTTTTGTGCGTGCGGGAATAACGTTGCGTACAGAATCCGGATAACCGAGAGATTCAGCGTCGCAATTATTCTTTGTTAATGAAACTCGACTTTGTCCCCTTTCCACCGTCATTTCCGCGTTTTAGTTATATGTATATTCGTCCGTTTCCCCTCTTCGATTCCTGCTGTTCTCGGTCATCGCGTCGCATTAATCGACTAGCGGATTAGGTCGAATTAGGTCGACGGCTAATAGCTGCAACGTAACAGTCGTTAATCGCGTTACAATTACAGCGCTACTTTGTTTAGAATATTGCACAAACACGCGT